AGTATCATATACACCGTTTATCGTATGCAAATTTCCTACCACATGCATATTAACTCGTGCTCAGGCCGGCTCTTTGGGGAGGCAGGGTCCCCATATATTTGGGGCTCCATTTTTTTTTTCATGTATTTGTGATGAGTTTGGCCTATTTGGGACTGTTTATCTAGCTTTAAATAATGGTGTTAATCTTTGTTTGAACAATTGTCTTTATGTTCCGGATATTATAAGAAACATTATCTCTATTCCAGTTTTGGATAGAGAGGGTTTTAAGTTTATTATCGAGAGTGGAAGTTGTTCCATTCTCAAAGATAATGCTTTTATATATTCTGATTATTTCACAAATGGTTTATACACTATTACACCTCAAAGTCTCATCCTAAATATTCAACAAAATAAAAGAAAATTAGATAATCATAGTTCGTTTGCACTTTGGCATGCTAGATTGGGTCACATATCTGAAAAGAGGATTCACAAACTGGGACAAAAACTCGACCTTAGGGGAGAGGATAAGTTGCCTACATGTGAGCCATGTCTTAAAGGAAAAATGACAAAATCACCATTTGTTGGACAAGTGGAGCGAGCTAAAGGTCTGTTGGATTTGATTCATATAGATGTTTGTGGACCACTAAATGTTAGTGCCAGAGGGAACTATCACTATTTCATAACCTTTACCGATGATTTCTCTAGGTATGGTTATGTATACCTTTTGAGGTATAAATCTGAAGTTTTTCAAAAGTTCAAAGAGTTTAGATGTGAAATAGAAAAACAAAGTGGTCGTAGTATTAAGGCTCTTCGATCAGATCGAGGAGGTGAATATTTGACCACTGAGTTTCTCGATTATCTGAAGGAGAATGGGATTCTCTCGCAGTGGACTCCTCCTGGTACTCCACAACTTAATGGAGTTTCAGAAATGAGGAATCTGACATTGTTAGACATGGTTCGATCAATGATGAGTTCCACTACTTTACTTCTTTCATTCTGGGGCTATGCTTTAGAAACGGCAACACATATATTGAATAGGGTGCCAAGTAAAGCAGTGCCTAACACACCTTATGAGATGTGGTGTGGTAAAACACCTTCGTGCAAGTATCTGAAACTATGGGGGTGTGCTGCTTACGTGAAGCGGCAAGTGGGAGATAAGTTGGATATGAGATCCATCTTATGTAAATTTGTGGGATATCCAAGAGAGTCTATCGGATACTATTTCTACGACCCCTCTGACCAAAAAGTGTTTGTTTCGAAAAATGCTGTTTTCTTAGAAGAAGAATTTCTCTCTAATAAGAATGGTGAAGTTGTAGAACTTAATGAAGAACAAGAACCACAAACTATCTCACAAGTTGTCACAGATAACACACCAGTTGAGACTAGACCTTCTGAGGTACAACCTCTTCGGAAATCTGTAAGGGTTTTTAGGGTACCTGAAAGGCTAAAACCTTTTGTTAGAGAACAAAGAAGAGGGACTCCTTTTGGATAATGATCCAACAAGATATGAAGAGGCAATGTCGGACATTGACTCAAATAAATGGCAAGAAGCTATGCAGTCCGAGATGGATTCCATGTACTCAAACAAGGTATGGACCTTGGTGGACCCACCATAGGGTATTGTACCCATTGGCTGTAGATGGGTTTATAAGAGAAAGCTTGGAGTAGATGGAGAGGTGAATACCTTTAAAGCACGTCTGGTTGCAAAAGGTTATACTCAAAAACAAGGAATTGATTATGAGGAAACTTTTTCACCAGTTGCAATGCTTAAATCTATTCGAATTCTGCTATCCATAGCTGTGTATTATGATTACGAGATATGGCAAATGGATGTGAAGACTGCTTTTCTTAATGGGAACATTAAGGAAGATATTTATATGAAATAGCCACAGGGTTTCATATTCAGTGGGAGCGAGCAAATGGTTTGTAAACTCCAGAGGTCTATTTATGGACTTAAACAAGCTTCAAGAAGTTGGAACATTCGATTTGATGAAACAATCAAAACGTTTGATTTTCACAAAAACCCGGATGAACCATGTGTTTATAAGAAGGTTAGTGGAAATGCAGTAACATTTGTTGTGCTCTATGTTGATGACATTCTACTCATTGGAAATGATGTAGGAATGTTGCAATCAACAAAGACTTGGTTGTCTAAACAGTTTTCCCTGAAAGACTTGGGAGAAGCATATTTTATCCTAGGGATAAAGATCTATAGAGATAGATCTAGAAAGATGATTGGACTATCCCAGTAAATGTACATAAATAAGGTGCTAAAGCGGTTTAGCATGGAGGAATCCAAACGTGGATATCTTCCAATGAGCCATGGTGTTTCATTTTCTAAGGCTATGTCTCCGAAGACGCCTGAAGAAAGAGAAAAGATGACTCGTATACCTTATGCATAAGCTATTGGTAGCATAATGTATGCGATGTTATATACTAGACCTGATGTGGCTCATGCACTTAGTGTCACGAGCAGATATAAGTCTAATCCAGGGGAGGAACACTGGAAGGCCATTAAGATGATCCTTAAGTACTTGAGAAGGACTAAAGATATCATTTTGGTATACGGCAATGGAGAACTAAAACTAGAAGGCTCTGATTCTAGTTTTCAGTCTGATAAAGATGATTCAAAATCAATGTCTGAATACATATTTACCTTGAATGGAGCAGCAGTTAGTTGGAAAAGTTCCAAACAAGAAAAAACTGCTGACTCTACTACCGAGGCTGAATACATTGCATCATCAGATGCTGCGAAAGAAGCTGTTTGGATACGGAACTTCATCCAAGGGTTAGGTGTAGTCCCGTCTGTTGTTGATCCAATAATGATTTATTGTGACAACAATGGAGCTATAGCGCAAGCGAAAGAGCCAAGATCTCATCAAAGGACCAAACACATTATGAGACGATACCACCTGATTAGAGAGATCATTGGTAGAGGCGATATCGTTATGGATCGAGTCGCTTCAGTAGAAAATATAGCAGACCCCTTGACTAAGCCCTTATCACATAAAGTGTTTGACAGACATCTTGAGAAGATGGGCCTAAAATACATGAGTGATTGGAACTAGGGAAAGTGGGAGATTTTTGAAGTAGAATACCCGGCGTTCCAATCAGATTGGATTTATTTCTACTTGTAAAAACAATTTATTGGAATTATATTATTAAGACATTGTTTTATCTTATGTCTTTGCATTTATCCTATATTTGCACATATGATAAAGTCCTTAGATCATTAATGGCTATAAGGCATGGTTGCGCATTTGATGGTAATCATGGAACATATCTTTAAAGCTGTGATCTTAAATATAGTTCCAAGTCGTTGGATATTTCGAGATGGGATATCGAATAATCCGGAAAGACTTGTACATATGATGTATACTTGTTTGACAAGAATGTTGCATTCCATCAACATTAGCGTGGGTCGCAAATACATATATGTGGGTGCTTGTTAGAGAACAAGTTCACTGAACATGACCGTATGAAAATTCTGAATGGAAGTTTATTATGTCGAATAAGAATTTTCATGTTACAGTTGTACATGATTGATCCTTAGACTTGAGGCACGATAGTAACTTTGTGCATATTATATTTTATTTTGATTTATCCTTTTGATTGCTAGCACAGTCGTATAAAGGGATATTTTGGGTATTATATTAATATGAATGGAAATTTGTCAGTGGCCAACAAAGGATTCGACATTTATGAGATAAGTGAATTTCCTATGTGTTTCATAGTTTGTAATTCAAAGTCCTTGGCCAAGGCGGGATGAATAAAGATTCATATATGAATTACTAAACTTGAAATGGAATCATAGTTATTAAATCAATTTGGGTTTCGACTATATCATACCCAAGATTTAATCGGGAAATTGGATGTCGAAAGGATTTTACATGTATGGACTTGTAATCGAAAAGGTTTACTCGTTATTCACTTAATACTAGATTCATGCTACTTGCTATATGTTCCCATGATATGTGAGTCCTTGAATTAAGGAGTTAATTCAAAGAATAAGAATTAATTTGATTAATTCAAATTACAAGGAGTTGTAAACCCACTACTAGTATTAATAGTGAACCTAAAAGGTCACACCCAATTTTGAATGTAGATCGTTTGAAATTAGTATTTCTAAAGAGTTAGAATTAATTAACAAGTATTAATTAAATAATTTGATTATTTAATTAATTCTAATTTTGATTAGATATCAATTAAAGGAATATACTAAATTAATCAATTTGATTGATTAATTATATTTTGGATATTAATTAAGTAATTAATGGAATTACTAAATTAATAGTTGGATTTTAAAATTAGATTTTAAAATTCAAAATCCATATTATAATATGATTATAATAAGAGGAGATTTTATAAATATGAGAAATAATATATTTGATAAATTAATTTTTTTTTTCAGAAATTATAAATCATAATATTTAATCTTTAATTTGATTAAAGATTAAAATAATAATAAAATATTATTAGATGGGATTTAATGATATTTTTTATTATTAAAATCATTTAGATCAAGATGCCATCTAATTTGATTAAAATAATGATTTTAAAATACAAGATGACATCTTGTGATCTAAATGTTTTAGTATAAATAGGTGTACATATGTGATGTACATGTACACAATTGTATTAACAAGAAAATTGAGAAAGAAAAATCACATGAGTTGTAAATCAAGAAGTGTTCTTGAACTTTGAGAATTATTTCCATATCAAGAATAGTTCTTGAAAATTTTAATAAAGATTAAAATTATAATCTTCTCTAAAATAAATATTACGATACTTTTAGAGGGGAGACACTTGGATCCCTCGGGTGAGTAACAAGAGACGGTAAAAGTCATATATAACCGGGAATTAATTTCCTCAATCATCGTCATATAAAGGAGTTCAAGATAAAAGGTAATTTTTGAAATTACTTATTACAAATCAAAATTCGTATTATTACGTGTTTTTAAATGATGACGATCTGTTTATTCGCTATATGTATTTACGGGTTGAGTATTTATAGGATAAATATTTATTTTCGAAACAATTTTTTCCGCTGCAAATAACCCGTACGGTACAAGTGAACCCAACATCTATTTCCATGCAATGTGCATAAAGAATTGATACAAGATTTATTGATCATAAGGAGAGGGTAACTATAATAATGCTACAGCTAAGTAGAAGGTAAAGCCAGGATGATCTCAGCGAACAAAATTTCCTGGGATTTTGGGATCTATTTACAATATTTGCTGCCATTTCTGCGAATGACCTTATAATAGCTAAGAATCCGAAAGCTACACATACGATCAAAATAAATATTCCTTTGTTCTCCAGATGTAATTGATTCCTCTGAATCCTTTCAACCTCCGATCTGCAGCAAGATGTAAATTCAGAATGTGTCGAATATACGAATGGTGTTCTTTGCATATAAGTTGTAACAACAAACAGGATAAAAAAAATAGAGGTTCTGCTTCCATAATTTAAGGTTGTCAATGCCTTTCCAGTTTCTATATACTTTTATCAACTAAGTCAAAGAAACTATGAGCAAAAAATATTATCAAGGTTGTCACAAGGAGATTTTTTCAAAATCAGCAACACAACTAATATAAATCTGAAGTCCGAGTACCTGAGTAGGGAGTTCTCTTTGTGCATACTGTTCAGCTGAGTAGAAACAAGAAATTTCCAAGAGACAAGATCGTCGATCTCCTTGCTCTGCAAGAGTTGCTCAGAGTTAGAAAATGACAACTTATGAATGCATTTAAACAAAAATTTGGAACATTAACGCTAAACGAACCATGTCCTCTTTGCTATCAGAAAGTTCCTTAACATCTGACACAGTCCTCTCCAGAACCACATAATTATCCCCAACATCTTTATCAAATTCTTTGAAAATGTCACCATATCGGGTATTCAATTCCCCCAAGTATCGCTCGAGCACTGCTAAATTCAAATCCAAAGACCTCACCTTTTTCATCAGAATCTTAAGTACACTATCCCCAGGCATCCTATTAACATGTTGAAGACGAATTTCCTCAACCGGGTCAGGCACCTCAATTTCCATCCTTCCACGTTTCAAGTCCGGCGACTCAATTGTCAAATCAGGTTCATCCACAACAACTTCATACCCTTCAGTTTTCGTGGATGGGCTTATATTTGGCCTTTTCCCATCTAAAACCATGTCCTCGAGCATTTTCTCAACCGCATCAACACCATACACTTCTAAAACACTCAGCGTGCAATAAAACTCCGAGCCATGATGACTAAGCAGGTTCAGTTTGAGATACCTCACCCATTTCGGCTCCGGAAGAACAAACCTCTGAGCTTGCTTTACGTTAGCAGCAGTGAAATTCCCGAGTTTGAACCATGAGTCAGTAGGATAAACAGGGCTTCCTAATAACTCTAAATCTTTCAAATTAGACGAATGGTGCTCGAAATTTGCAATTTCAATGGTGTCCACCAGGGTTTCCTCAGAAAGCTCTATCACCACAAATTTCTCTTCGGTCGAGCAAGGGTTTCGAAGGTACTTGTCTTTATCACTGTACAAGATATTAGAAGCACCCTTTGCTTCCTTATTGTAGGATAAGACCTTTGCTCCTTTAGAAGCAGATGCATAATTGTATTCCGCCCCTCCGGGCTCGACTCTGTGTATAATGCCTCCAGCCCGTCCCGTTAGATATTTGCTTCTGGAATTAATTGCATTATTCTTGAACTCGTCTAGTCCAGGTGGCACTCCACGGGACAACCTGTCGATTTTGGGATTCTCCTTTACCGTATTAGCCAGCAAACTTTTCTTAATGGAAGCTTCCTCAGTAGCGGGTTCTGCAGTAACTTTCATCAGACGAGTATCTGATTCGCTTGTGCTAAGATTCGTTCCATCATAAGGTAAGGATGTCTGGGCAGAATAATCTTCAGAGAAAATTCCTTCAGATAGGTGCCCATCCACAGATAATGCGCAATTGGCTCCACAATCAAATGTTACTTCATCTTCACCCCATCTTGTTGCATTGACAGAATAGTCTTCTTGTTTGTCTACATAAATTGTGCAATAAAGGAAAAGTTTACTTAATGAGGCGAGATCGAACCGTAGGAGTGTGACTTCTTATTTATGCGGGAATGAATTATTACAAAAACCAGTATTTTGAGAATCACATGTAAGTGCAGGTAACAGGGAAGGCGTGTTTGTAAATAAATTCCATTATAGAGTTCGGGGTACACAATGTCATACTTGTAAAGAAAGCAAAGAAGCAACCGGAATTATAACAAAACAAATGAGAGCTTGCTATACGTGCCTTTCCAGATGTGGTATGATATAAGAATGTAAGTAAAGAAGAATTTAGAAACGCTACTCAGGATAAATAAATAGTTTCATGGAACACTGACCCTTCTGAACATCTCCATGGCCGATCCATGTATTTAACAGAAAGACAAGGCCCCATAGGACTACAACAACGGAAACAGAGACCTTATACAGCCGGTTCCTCCCCCAAATTGCTCTCTTTTGTAGAAGAGCTTTACGTGACCTCTGCATTGTGCATCAATCCAATTTGCTGCAAGTTTTAAAACAACTATATTGAGGTAAAGAATAAAGTGCACCGCAAGTTGAAAAGTGAAGACTCAAACATTTATTGCAATTTTCAAGGGGATAACAAAATTTGTAGGAGGCACAAAAGTACCGAAATACATTACTTATAAATGTATAAACTGGACAAAATCAAAGACTGAGCTTTAAGAATTTCTGAATCTATTACATAAAAATCAACCAGGAATAGATAACAGATCTCAATGTACACAAACTTGTTAATCGTATACCTCCAGTTTGGTAATGAATATGCAGTGAAATAAATGCACATTATATATAAGTAAAATCAAATCATGAAACCAACAATAGGATCACATAAGCTGCTTAGGCCAATCATGGATGAGAACCCAGAATTATGCACCAACCTCTGAGGCGCTGAGCAAAAATCAGCAAAATTTCAAACCTTGGGTGAACAAACTTCATCCCTCATGAAAAAACAAAAAGTCTTGCATACACCACTAATCGTGTAGAAGGATAAAGAGAGTGATTTGCTTCAGATCAAAGCTTGAAATGATAACAAAACTCAGAATGCATCAGTGGCTAATTCAAGTGCAAAACGAAACAGTTCTCTTACAATGACGTAAAGCATAAAGAAACGACACTTTATCAAAGAGCAGTAAGTTATGCTCGATCCATTAAAGAAAAGTAACTACTAAATCCTACCTTAAAGGAAAAGGTTTCCAAAGAAAAGAACTCCTCAAAATATCATCGATCACGGAAAAGGAACGAATAAATTCAGAGACCCAAACAAGCAAATCCGCAGTCGAAAATTCTGAACGAACTCTAACTCACCCGAACTCGGTATAAAACGAGATTATGTGAATTTCAGAACGATTCTTATGGGATTCTATTAATTTTTTCTCAATAAAAAAAGAAGTCCTCCCTCTTTCAAATAAAATTTGCAGGTATCCTCATTGGATCAACATCCTATTATAACGGCTTTGTTGGGGCTGGTGTCGGCCAAATGCGTGTGCCCCTTTTCCTTTTTTGCTTGTGATTAGAATATATGTTTTAACGGAAAAGACTCGGATTTGAAACACGCATTAGGATTTTTAACTGAGCTGAGCAGTGCCGTAAATCGCTCACTCACTGTGAATTGTGCAGTGTTTGAAAAACTACGTACAACTGTAAAATTCAATCTCGGATTTTTCGAGGGATTTTAGTAGAACCCGAAATAAATAAATAAATACAAAATAAAACTCAATGAAAATAGGTTACGTGGAAGGACGTAATTGGGTAAAAGAAGGTGGTGGCGGTGAGGTGGACGTCGGTGGAAGGTGGCAATGAGCTGGACAACGCATGTAAGGGGCCCCATAAGTTGGGCTTATTATATTTATTTATTATTGGACAACTAGTTAAAACCCAAACCCAAAGGGGCTAGCAGTAGAACTTAATTAATTAATTAATTCTTACCACACATAACATAAATCGATTTTAATTCGTCTTCTTCCTTCCTCAACCATTGCCTGCGTCTCATCTTCCTTCATTCACTGGATATCTTTGTTTTTATCAGAAAACACAAGCTAAGCTACGCTAAGCTTTGCAGCAGATTTCGAATCCTATTTTGGTTTAATGATGGCGGACAAGTCTAGCTCTACTGTTTACATTGGTATGAATTCCTCACCTTCGGATTTTATGCAATTGCTATCGGATTTGAATACTCGCTGCTCTCTCTATCTTTATCTCTTATGGACGTCTAGCCTTCTGTGGTTGAGTTAATCTCGTATTCAAATTCTCATTTACTATGAGAAATCATATGTAGTTTTTGTATGGATTTTTTTCTTATTTAGGAACTTTTGGTCGGGGAAGCTCCAGTATTAGGTCTAAGTTGTTCTATTGGTCTTTCCTGAATATGCCACCTTTGAGAGTTTCCTAGATGCCCTTGTATCTTGTTTGATTCTGTAGAGAACTGAGCCTTGGTCCTTTTATTTGACGTTAAAAGCTCAAAAGCGTAATGCCAAGTTGTAAAGCATCTAATTTTATCCACGGTCTGCTGGCTTTGTGTACCTCAAATTATTCACCTGATGATTCTTCCAGTTGGATTTTTCAACGAAAATTTGCACTACCCCACATTTTACATTGTATGACATTGGTCTAATTTTTAAAATATGCTCAAATTTTCCATCTGCAGGTAACCTGGATGAGAGAGTCAGTGATAGGGTGCTATATGACATTCTCATTCAAGCAGGCCGTGTGGTGGATTTACATATTCCTCGGGACAGGGAGACCGATAAGCCAAAAGGTTTTGCTTTTGCTGAATACGAATCGGATGAGGTGGCTGCTTATGCTGTGAAGCTTTTCAGTGGGCTTGTGACACTCTACAAGAGGACGCTGAAATTTGCGGTATGTTAACCAGGCTACAGGTCCTTTCTTATTGGGAAACTTATTACTCTTTAGAAATTGATATTTGCCTATTTGTTTTATATATTGTTTTGCTCCTCAATGGTTGTCAATTATTCGCCCCCCTTTATAGATGCTAGGAGATTAATCGATTTCCTTGCTTCTCTAAGGGAGGCTTGTGAGAGCCCATGTCGTTTAAGAGAAATCAGGATGCTACTCTGTGGTTATCCTGCTTATGGTTTGTGGGCTGGCAACTTGAACCCATATTGAGGAGTGAGATTAGGAATTTCTTTCTTTTGTGGTTCTTTTTTTTTTTTAAAAAAAAAAATCAATTTTGGGAAACAGATTTCTGGGCAAGACAAATCCTCAGCGAGTTTACCCGTTGCAAATACCCCTATGATTACTTCTTCTCTCAAACCAAGGCCATACCATGCCCCATATGATAGTACAGAACTTTCCTCGCAATCATTAAGCCGGTTCTCAGAGTACAAAATAAATTACATACAAGGTGACTGATGCTTTTCATTGCGAAGCTTGGTTTCTTGGAAAAACTTCAATTTTGCTATTCCTTTTTTCCTTTTTTATTCAGATCGTTGATTGATTAACAGTATATTCTTTTTATTCAGCGCCGGTTCCTTATGATGTATCTATGAACCAACCTAATGGGTATAGAACACACCATGACAGCGTCGATTACAATTACAGTCGAAGAGTATTCGGGGCAGTATTGGATAGTGTTAGTGGCAGTAGCTCTGGACGATATGAGAGGCGAAACTCAATGAGTTACAATTCTTCTTACTAAATTTCATGTAGGCTGGGTAGAGATCAACTTTGATTGTCTAACCCTTCTTGTGAATGGGTACTGCACATGATATAGCACCGGTAGACACTAGACAGTTAGCTATTTATTATCTTTTCTGTTAAATGTGTGTGGTGAAGTGAGTTGAGGTTGTCTTATGTGGTTTACCTATCCAGATTATTGCATGCTTCTTTTGTTAGTATCTAATCTTGTTCTAGGATTTTGAACTCAAATGATTTTCTCTTGTTCACCTGGACCTTAATCCTCAGCTGTAAGTTTTGGTGCATGCATATGGTTTTATTTTTTCTTTTTTTTTTTTACCAGCTATCAGCATTTGATTGTTGAAAACATGAATTTTGTACGCATAACTTCTGTTGGATATATGCACTGTTTGCTGGTGCTGATTTTCTTTCATTTTCTTCTCTCTATATATTTTGTCCTGTTCTTTTGAATTGCAATTAGAGAAGAGAGATCAATTGAAGTATTTTCGCTACTGATCATCCACAATTCAACCAATGGATCCTTAGGGTTGGTATATTCTTTCTATATCCTGTAGTTTCTCTCACTCAACTCAAGTGAAGTATCACAAATCTTTCGACCCATCCTGTAGATTGTCCTTTTCCTTTCGTGTTGAAATAGAACCTTAATTTAGTACTTGTTATTAGGTACACATTGACTCGTAGAAAAGGATATCAATCCCCGATTGCCTATTGGTAATTATCGAGTATAGAATATATTTGCTTCTCCTTGTTCCTACAAACAGAATTCTTCCATCACGAACAAAATAGAATAAATATTAATCTAACCCTTTTTAGGAAACAATCTTCCGAACAGAGGGGTCTATAAGATAGTCATTTTTCCAGTGTAATAAAGTTACGTAGTTTTTCTTTTAATTTGATAAAGGAGTATTTTCCATGGGTTTGCCTTGGTATCGTGTTCATACCGTTGTATTGAATGATCCCGAAGGGTTAGGATGTTAAGTTAAGTGGACGAAAGGATAATTTTAGGAAAAAGATCTAAAAGATCTCTTTCCTTTTTTTACAACTTTCTAATATCGTAATTTGTTCTTTTTTTTTTTTTTGTTCCTATTGCTTTCTATCGTATATAAAGTCTTTTATATTTCTATTCCTAAAGTAACTTAGATTGAGCCGCACATATCTTACTTTGTGCTAAGTTAAAAAAAATAAGACTATTTCAATGATGTCCCTCCAGTTGTATGCATATTGGTATTGAACTGTTGTATTTGTGATACAACGTAGTGGAGTGTTGATTTTGAATTTACAGGACTCCACCCTTAGAATTCCAGGAAGAGTTAACTTCCACTTTTCTTGTAGCTGCCTTGCTCTCTTTTGTCCCAGAATTAACTCCATTTAAGCTTTTATTCGCCTAGTATGGAGAATTTGAAGCATCAGAGAAGAATCGGCTGTGATTAGCCTAGCTCGATATCCATCCTATCAAGAAAAGTTGTACTTGTGGCCTGCTGTCACTAACCCTCTTCAATTGCTATCAGAAACCTCCGGAATCTCTATACGTGTTCCATTTAGGTTTGACCTGTCTACATCCCCAGCATCCAACCGTTGTATGACATTTTCTTATAAAATAAAAAATAAATAAAGAAGAATAAAGATTGCACAGTAGCATTTTCTGTTTTTGTGTGTGGCAGTGTGCTCTGTATTCCTGCTCAAAAGGTGTTAATTGCTATATGACATAAAATTAACCCCCTTATTGGAGCTAGCTTACCAAGGCGCTCAAATGGTAAAGTCCGGACTCTGGCTTATAACGGTGAACCCTTGGAATATTTCTATCCGTTAATTTCTAAAAATATTAAGTTTCAATGGAACAAAGCATTATGGGGAGAGCAATGACTTGCATTTTGTTTGTGTTTGATGGGTAAGAATTCGAAAAAGATTGATTGTGAAACTTCTTTTTTATGTCGGTTTGATGGTAAGATTTAGAAAAGAATGATTTATGATTTGGTCACCTTTGTGTAGATGATGAGGAGGAGGGAACCCACCTGGGATGCAGATGAAATAGAGACCATGTCCGTTATTCTTAGGTGAAATCAGCGCCTGCAACAATTCTGAAAATTATATAATATTACTACATTTTGTATGTCATGTTGAGTCAATTGATGCACATTTCCAAGGCTTTAAGATGATGATGATTCAAGTGCTGTCCTTTTTCCTCTTTAAACTTCTTTATTTGTTTCTTTTTTTTTTTACCCAAAGAAACGATACTTACATTAGTGAATAAAGTTGTTACAACTTGGTCGATAGCTAGAATAGTGGAACAAATTTATTAATAAATAAAATGGTTATGGTTATGACCGTTTGATAACTAATTAGAATAGTCGAATCAATCAGTAAAAAAATCAATTGAATTGAAAACAACAATACACGCATGCTCTAAATTCGAATAGGGTATAAACAAATTAATATAGAAATCAAATTCCCGAAGTTCTCACACAACATAATCAAAACGAAAAAAATATACCCTAAAAAACATTTTTTTAAAAAAAAAAACGGTAGAGTAAGGGTGGGTTTCATCAAATAAACTAGTACGTACCCTGTGCGATGCACATGATAGATATATTAAATGAGTTATTTTCACAGGATATGTCCATTTATGTCTAAAAAGCAATAGGGCCATCATCTATTTTTCATTCATTTTAATCAGCGTTAAATGAGTTACTTTCACAGGATATGTCCGTTTATGTCTAAAAAGCAATAGGGCCATCATCTATTTTTCATTCATTTTAATCAGCGTTAAGTATAAAAAACAATATGGTTTATAATCTATTTTCCACCTCTTTCAATCAGCGTTGTTTTTTTAGCCAGAACATTTAATATGAGCATGTTAGAGCTAGTTTGTAAAATAATTAATATATTATATCACAAACACATTTATACTAATATAAATTTAATTTTATTATATATATTTATTACTTGAGATAAGAGAAAGTAACATTTTTACTTATTCTTGTTCACCGTATAATACTTAATTATTATTTTATTATATACTTTGTTGTCATATAATGTCATTATTATTTATAAAAGATATAGAAGTTGTACGTCTTCCTTTTCTTTTTATTTTAAAACATGTTTTTTTAGAATTTAATTTTGTGTACTAATTAAACAACTTTGATGTAGCAAATGTCAAAAACTCAATCTCATTTATAATCAGAATTTTTCTAATTTGTATTATAAGGATTTATAGTTTATTTAGCATACTCTGCAATGTCAATATATTTTACATAAATTTCATTATAGAAAAAAATCAAAATAAAAAAAAAAATCATGGTTGCCAATAATATACAAATAAATTCTAAAGAACAATTAATATATTGTAATTTTAATTTTTGACCATTAATAAAATTATTTAATTTATCTGGTCATTATCTCTTAAGTGGTAAATTATATTAATTTGAAAAATAATTTATTTTTTATGTATAACGAAATAAAGCTAGAGAAAAAATTATATTGGTAAAGATTAATTCACCAACTTGATTTCACCTGATTAAATTGGATGAAAAGATTCTACCTAACCTGTTACGATTTTTTATAAATATTTTTGAATAAAAAGTGAATATTTGTGAAAAATAAAATTAATATTATGGTTAGAACTTAAAATATGTTGTAATATTTATCTTGACCAAAATATTATCAACATGAATCACGAAAAATCAATCTTGTAATTTATTATAATGGATATCAATGAAACTATTGCAAATATTAATAAAATTATTTAAATGAACAATATTTTTGATCATCTAAATTGATCTTATTTGAAAATGTGTATATGGATGCAATTAATGCATACATTTAATAAATTTATAAAAACAGGTATGCATTAAGTGTTTTCAAAATTTTTTATTGCTATTTCTAGTAAATGGTAAGAATATATATATATATATATATATATATATATATATATACAATATATATATATATATATATATATATATATATATATATAGGGAAGGGTTCTAATAAGAACCATCTCTAGTGTAAGAACTAGGAACCAATCCTAGCCTTTAAATTTATAATTATTAACGTTTGAGATTATGTTTAGTATATTAGGAATTTAACTAAAGCTAACTAATGAGTAAATGTAGGGACAAACTAGGAAAGTGATATTATTTGAAAATCTCCTCTTTTATTGAACTCAGATTCGTTGGAATTGAATTGTCAAAAAGATGGTAACTATGACCAACAAAATTTTATGCCAAACAATAAAAAATGGTTATGCACAATATCTTATATGTTGATGCTAATTTCAAATACCACTTACGCTAGTTTTAACAATATATACCATGAAGTTGAAAATGAAGTATGATAAGCATATAACACATCAAGTGTCCATTGTTATTTTAATCTTCGTAGATCCTTGTAATTGCATGAAGATTGTATCCATGCGAGTTAGTAATTTAATGAATGTCACACCCATGTTGTTGTCTATGAGGGACTTTGTGCAATTATATTAATATTTTAGTGCTATTACTAATGGAGATTATTGCTATAATTAACAAAAATTGCATTGCTATTATCTTTTGTATAAGATTAACAAACAAAAAAGTTTTACTATATAATTTGTTTTATAAAATATTTTTTTTAATTTATTATGACAATGCTATTAACTAAATTTAAAACTTGATATGCAAAGTAGTTCTAATTTTGTAATTGCTAGCAATCACATGGATTTAATAATGTAATTTGTCATAATAAATTATCGATTAGTGCAATATATAAATATATTGATTCAAGTTGCATTTTTTTATGTGAATTCACGGTCTTCCATGACTTTATCAAATGTTCATATTGTTTCTATTATAGACAATTGTTAGAAAAAATGAGTCCAATATATGTCCATAACTCATCAAATTAACATTATTGAACTTAGTGCTATCAATTATTCATATATATGCTACTATTCCAATTATTAATGCTAGCTACGTCAAATGTTCGTAATGTAGATAACAACCAATTAGTCTTAATATGAACTTGATGCTATCAAATGTTCAATTTGTTGCTATTATCTGCAAATTTTAGTGTTGACTATCAAATCTTCAGAGTAATTAACAATCTATTAGATTTAATTAATATGTTTTTGATGCTATTGAATGTTTATATTCTTGCTACCATGATAACTGTTAGTGGTAATATTATTTAATCTATCCTTCCATTTTCATTAACCTATAATAAAATTTCAACGCCAAAAAGGTGCCGACAAAGACACTATTAAATATTTTTTGGTGTAATTCACAATAAAACATTCTACAGAAGTTCAAGAAATTATTGAAATTGCATATTGCATATTGCATATTGGACAAAAAAATACTAGTATAAAAATTTTATGTATTACATAATACAAATATATTTGACAAAATAAATTTTTAAGCACCATCAGAACTTGGTCAATGGTCATTCCACGGGTGATGTGCACGATTAGCTTATTGATAAATTATTTTTATGTATAGATAATAAATATGTTATAAAAAAGTATTAAACTAGAAAAAGAAAAAAAAAGAAAAACGAAGAACAAAGATAACAAAACTAGAAAAAAGTAATGAAGACTAAAAAAATAATAGTCACAGAGTTCATATCCCTTCAAGAGCATTACCATATTTAATAACAATTCACATGACAAATATAGCCTCCTCTACATAAATGTGAGTTTTTAAACAAAATCAACTATTATATTAATTTGAATCTAATCCGTTAAAAGTTATTAATTGAATGGTTATGATTGGTTCCTTGTTCTTACACTAGGTGAGAGTTCTCATTTGAACCACACCCTATATATATATATATATATATATATGTATATATAATAGATATAGATATAGATTTGTCAGCATGCCTACCTTCAGGGACGGATCTACATGTAAGTTGGGGAAGCCATTGTCCCCCCCAACATTTTTTTTCTATTAAGTGTATGTAACATTATATTTTATATTAATTCTTAGTTGAAATAAGTGAGTTAAGGCTTTGATAATCAATAGTCTTACCTAAAAATAGAGAATTCAAAGAAGAGTATTAGTAGAAGAATTTGAACAACTGTCCTAACTTGTTTGTACTTGTCCATGTAATAATTATTATAAATAATAATTAGATCTTGTAAGTCTTCTATAAATACGACTGTATATAACATAATACGATTATACGAGGAGTAAATTTAATATATAGAGCACTTAAGATATACAATTTAATGTGGTGGAAATATATAATATATGCTTATAGAAAATTTGAACATGAGATTATTCTTTTATTGTTATGTATTTTTATATTGTACGTGTTCGTGGCATTTATTAATATGTTCTATATTTTGAGAAAATTAATTAACTCTAAATGCTAGCGATGTTTGGAAGTACACATTTTTTCTATTATATATAACGTATGATGTTTATGAAAATTATATTTTTTTACTGCCCCTTCCACTAAAATTTTCTGGATCCACCCTGCGTGCCTTAAACAAAATGGTAATTTAAAATTGTATAAAAATGGAAAAATGATTTGGAAAGACGATTGATGGCAAGTTGACAAACATCAATACGTAGTATACGTTCCTTTTTGTAGGTCTATTTGAACTTAAAAAAATGGCGGTTAAAGACTTTCGTAGACCAAGTTTCTCAGGCACGCCATGAAAACCGGTCTCACGTTGCTGGTCAACAGAACATGTCGGCTCCATCTCACTCTCTCTCAGCTCATCCGCCGCTACAACCACACCATGACCGCCGTCTCCTACACTCCACCTCCGGCGGACCTCTTCACCACCAACAATTACATTAACAGCCAAGCCAAAAGCGGCCAGCTGCATCTGGCCAACAAAATGTTCGACAAAATGCCTCAGAGAAACGCAGTTTCTTGGACGGTCCTCATTTCGGGCTATGCTCAGCATGGGAAGTCCGATCAGTGCTTCCGCTTGTTTGGTCAGATGATATTCCATTTCAGGCCCAACGATTTTGCTTATGCGAGTGTGTTGTCGGTGTGCGACCGCCCGCGTGGCCTGCAAGTTCACGGGCTCATTCTAAAAACCGGTTTTGGTTCTTGGATTTACGTTGCTAATTCTCTCGTGGCCATGTACTGGAAGAACAGTCGTGATTCTGGTTCGGAAGCTTGGAGGGTGTTTGAGTCAATGGGTTACTGTAATCTTGTTACTTACAATTCAATGATTTCAGGGCTCGGGATGCATGGAAAAGGTGATAGAGCAATGGATTTATTCATAAGAATGCATCATGATGGGGTCAAGTTCGATCGTGCTACATTATTGGCTTTGGTTTCTTCGTTATGTGGATCAAATGAAGGTGGTGATCGGATTGTGGGGCTTACGTGTTGTTTGCAACTGCATTCTTGTGGTATTAAGACTGGCTTGGTCCTGGATGTTGGGGTCAAAACTGCTCTGATCAAAGGCTATTCTGCTCTCGCTAGCGAATTTAGTGGTTGTCTTAAGTTGTTCATGGAGACGAGTGGTATTGACCGCGATATTGTTCTGTGGACTGGAATTATGACGGCTTGTGCCGAATGGGAACCTCAGCAAGCCCTCATCTTTTTCAGTCAGATGCGTCGCGAAGATTTAAGCCCAGATTGTTATGTTTTTTCAGTAATGCTAAAAGCTTGTGCGAACTTGGTGACCGGAAGGACCACCTCTTCATTCCATTGTCAAGTGATTATTACAGGTTTTACTAATGTAATAGAGCTGGGCAATGCTTTAATTCATGCCTACTCTAGATGTGGTTCGATATATTGTGCGGAGAAAGTGTTTGGTGAAATGCCGAAAAGGGACATAGTTTCTTGGAACTCAATACTGAAGGCCTATGCAGTGCATGGTAAGGCTGAAAAGGCGCTTGATAGTTTTCGAGAAATGGACGTTGGTCCCGATGGGACCACGTTCGTTGCCCTACTCTCGTCATGCAGCCATGCGGGTATGGTAAAACAAGGAAAGAATTTATTTGATGCTATGAAACGTAACTACGGTGTAGTTCCACAGCTCGACCACTATGCATGCATGGTCGATATTCTCGGCCGGGCTGGACATGTTTCGGAGGCCGAAAGAATTATAAGGGAAATGCCTATGAGGCCGGATTATGTCATCTGGAGTGCGTTCCTTGGTGCATGTCGTAAATATGGGGACGCGAGGGCAGCCAGCCTTGCATCTTCAAACTTGAAGGAATTGGATCCGGAAAACTCACTGGGGTATGTTTTGGCTTCGAATATTTATTGCTTGTTTAGAAACTATGATGAAGGTGGTTCCTTGCGAATAAAAATGGATCGTATTGGGGTTAGAAAGGAACCGGGTTTGAGCTGGACAGAGGTGGGCCATCGAGTCCATGAATTTGCTTGTGGGGGCCATCGGCACCCACAGATTCGAGAAATTCGTGCAAACATGGAGGTTTTGTTGAGAGATTTGAGGAAAATTGGGTATGCTCCCGAGACGAGTTTGGTGTTGTTTGATGTAGAGGAAGAGCATAAAGAGGAGCAGCTTTATCAACACAGTGAAAAGCTGGCATTGGTTTTCTCCTTGACGAGTGCTGGTAATTCTAATCGCAACGGTGATGTTATTAAGATAATCAAGAACATTAGGATCTGTTTGGACTGTCATAATTTTATGAAATTTGCTTCGAAACTTGTCCGTAAGGTGATTGTAGTAAGGGATGCTAACCGTTTTCATCATTTTAATGAGGGAACCTGTTCTTGCAATGATTATTGGTGAATGTTTTCATTTTGCAGTCATACAATGGAAAATCAGTGACAACTGATGATTTCTCTATAGAGAAAAATAGGTAACAAACAGTACACATGTGATACAGATCAAAAGAACCATTATTGGAAGCCAAATTTATTCTGCAAGCTGAATGAGGGTAAATGAAGATCTTCTCAGACACCGATTTTGCATTTGGTTTTATTGCACTTGGACACGCAGTCACTCATGGCCTTCTCATCTGCAAAAAATGAAACAGCAGATTGGAGAAACTCTGCAGGGAGGAGACTAAAAGCCCGAGTTTAACTTGTAAGTGCATGTGTGTGTTGGAATTTAGAAAGAAGGAAAAAAAAAAAGAAAAAAAGTGGTTACCTTTAGTAAACTCGGCGCAAGTATTGAGCATGCATCCGAGATTACAGTAATGCTGTTTAGTTGAAATTTGTTGAGAAAGGCAACGGACTGGACAGTATTTGGTGCAGATGGCAGCATCAATACCGCTAAGTGTGCATTCTGCCAGACAATGCTGAATGCAGGTTCCTGGTGGAAAATGAGAGGTGACCGAACGAACACTAAGCATTGCCGTTAGCAGCATAAGCCCGGTTATCATTTGGATTCTTTTACTCTCCATTGAATAAGGGACTCTACTGTTGGGTTATTGGATGAAGAGGAAACAGTGGCTTGAGGCTGGTTTTTTATAGCCATGTGTACTACATAAGATGGCTTAGAGGCTCCACAAGCATGTATTCATGACCGTTGGTTCATTTACTTCACATGACAACACCTTGCTTAAGTTGTGGTCAATGAGAATGGGCTGTTCTACTTGTACTTTTTCTACTTCTGTAATTCATGATTATAGCAAGAGGATAATCAATCCACCATGATAGTATGTGATCTCGTCTGTTGTGGGATTTGCACATCACATCGAAAATGTTCTGATTGTGTCAAATTTCGATTTTCAAGTACTTGTACATTTAATCAATTCTAATTTAGTTTAAGGTTCCTTTCATGATTTGTGCAGCAGATTTCACACCGTACAAGTGTGTGCGATTTGTTTCTCACAACACATATCCATATGAATATGTATATGTATCTTACATGTATTGTATACGAGCAGGAGACTTCACACCGTACAAGTGTGTGAATGATCAAATCTACAATTTTCTAGTTTCTACCACTGTAAAGACTACTTTTCTTCAATTTCATCTTGTTTAACCTATTAAATTAGAGTAATAAAAAATTGAGTAATGAGTTAAATTTAAACAATCTTGGAGACATTTTTAATAATCAAACATAACAGAACAGTTTGTTTTTTAACATATGATCGATTCATCATTCACTTGTTATCACTACAGCTCATTCATTTCAAATGAAATAACCAGACTATGTCCTCAGGGTTGAAGGTCACCGACTCATCATTCACCTGGAGTAAGAATAAATTGAAGCATTTGACGTTTTTGCCTTCTCACCAGAAATTTCATTTCAAAAGCATAAACACAGATCCATCTTTTTCTGAACGCCAAAAGAGAATAGAAATTCGAAAGAAACTAAGATTATTAATGCCTGAGGTTTGAATCTCTTTAAAGCATCGGGGATTGAACAACATGAATAAATTATTTCCTCAACTGGTTCCAACAAAAACGCAAATGGAAAGAAATATAAATATCACAGGTTGAAAATACATAAAATTTTCTAAAGAACCTTGTAGTTTGAGCTCCAATAGGGAAATACGAGCCCAAGCTTTCAAAATTTCATTACATTACAAGGTTCCAAGGCAGGAATAGCACAATCAAGACGCTTTTATATCTTGATGGTGAAGTAATCTGGATCAAAATGGTGCAACCTCACATAACCATCCTCGCCTCCACTTGCAAAACTTAAGGAAAAAAGACGAGTACATAAGAACACAATAGAATGAAGTGTAATCAGGAAAATCATTTAAAGATGGCGAAAAAATTCACATGTTCAGCACTTAGTGGTACGCAAATTATGGCTAAGTTATCCTACATCATCTTTCATGGTGGCCAAGTAAATTACCCAAATTCAATGCACGATTTTGTTCTAGTTGAGGTAATGTAGATAATGTGATGCAAATGCCCAAAAGGAAAATATTTACCTTCTTCCATCTGGATTAAATGCCAGGGCATTTATTGGTCCAAAATGTCCTTTCACTCCTCCTATCTCTTCAGTTAGGATCTGAACAAGGAAGAGCTCAAAAGATCATCAGAAACCCTTAATCTGCAACTTAATATCTTTAATTTAATGCATCAATAACTTACCTTATCGTAAAATTTAGCCTCAAACTTTCCAGCACGATGATCAGTGGTTGTAACAGCTGATGCATCTTGGCCACCACCAAGTACCACCTACGAATGCCATTGCAGAAGTAAGAATGTGAACAGTGCAAGGTGGCAAATGTACTTATGATTTTTTTTTAAAAAAGAAATTAACTTGCAATGATAGTCTTGCTCACTTACATGATCAAGAAGGGGAGACATTGCAACTGCATTCACAGGACGTTCCGTCGCGTATGTTTTGATAAGTTTCAATGTTCTGGTGTCCCAAAGCTGACAAAATTTGGAAAACTCAGTCAGCAACACAATGCAAATCGGTGGGCTAATAGACATGCATAGATATTTAATGAAACATTAAAACAAGAATCACCTTAGCAGACTTATCCAGGGAGCCACTGAGGAAATGTGAACCATCAGCGGATTTTGTAAGTGAGGTAATAGTTTTTTTGTGGCCTTCCTCCTTGTCGGATTCTTTCAGTAATTTCCCGGTCTGTAACATAAAGCGGAAACAGAAGCAGAAAAGATTAATGACTAGGTCCCTAGTGATATCTTATACAGTAACACGTTAATATGTCATTGGAAACAACAACATAGAAATCGGCCACAACTCTACAAGAAATACTGACCTCAGAATCCCAGATACGAATTGTTGCATCTTCACCAGCACTTATGATCGTACTGTTTAGGGGTCCCCAAACTGCTCTGTTGATTCTTCCCTGCGGCCCCTTGATGGTGAGAACTGATTCAGCAGTCTCTGCCATTTCAAAACTCTATAACTTAGTCTGATAACAGTAAAGCAGTTTGTACGCACAAATCTCAGGCAAATCAATTTTGGCAAACAATAACACTAACATTGACATTATCGGTTACAAACTGCAAGTCACAGCAATGGGCTCAGGAGTATGCGAGTTACAGCCATCATTAACATTTGGAAATATCATTTTTTTAATATAAAAGTTAGCTAACATAAGTTTCTTTTTCACTCTAGAATCACAATTTCAGTGGAGGGGGAAAACAACCCAGTTTTAAGTCCTTCTCACACAGCTTAAAAATCATTTTTATCACCCATATTTACCATACTGAACTGACCGTGAAGGCTAACACTTTTTAACTTAATGAAACTAATTTTCTTATCATCATAAATTTATATTACAATGGCCTCCTATGGAGTTTCCGATGCCCTTTTTAATTTTCAACACAGAAAAACAAAAGCAAGCTGAACCTACAAGCATAATGCTATAGCCAAAAAGTTTCAATTTGTTTCAAAGATAGGAAAGCACACAATTCTGAAAAAAAAAATGCTTATAACATAAATTTTCGAGAGACTCACGGTCTTCTGGATCTCTAGAAATTCTTTTGACGTGAATAGCAGAGGTATATACCATAAAAGGATCTGTAGTGATAACTGCTAATTTATCACCAACAGAAAACTCGACAGACCTAGCAGGTGATTCAAAATTAAACGTATAAAGTGGAGTTCCAGTTGTAACATCCCATAACTTTGCAGTCTGATCTGCACTTCCGGTTAAAAGTCTCAATGAATCCCCTACAAATAACAATAATATTTAGAGCATGGAGTAACTAAACTGCTAATCTTGTAACGAAAAAACGAGAGTGGAAAAAGATAGAATTTTTCACACAAAATCAGCTGTCATTTGCCTCAAGCAAACCCCTCTGCAACACGAAAATCCTCAATGCAACCAAAATTACTCGTTTGAATCTAAATAAAACGAATCTTTTTTACTTCTACAGCTAAAACGCAAATAAAGCCTAAAGCTAGCATTTTTCCTAGCATACACACTTCTTTAAAGAACAAATCCCTTATGAAAATCCTGAACTTATCCAATCAGAGCTCCAAATAATTGTCAAAAACAGGTGCCGATAATGAGAAGCAAATCAAAAAGATAATAACAACGAGACAACAGAAGAATAAAAAATTACTGGAGATATCGCAGGACCAAACGGCGCCGTTGTGGCCACGGTAGGTGCCGAGTCGCTCGCCATTGTCGGCGAACCAGACGGTCGGATTATGGTCCTTGGCGCAGGAGAAAAGCATATCTCCGTCGAGATTGTACTTGAGAAACGTCAGGGGCCGCTCATGCCCTTTCATTAGTATCGGCCTCATCAATGTTTTTTTGAATTGAGCTAACAAGTTAACACCGAAATCCTATGAAGAAAACCCTATTTTGTGTGTTCTCTCGGGGATTTGGGTTGCCGATGGAAAACGATGATGGGCGAGTTTTGATCTCTCTCTCTATATATATTATTAATAAATTGCGGATCAAACAGGCTTGTTCTGGTCAGTTCAGGCCTTGTCCGAGGCTGATTACGGAACATAACTTGGGCTAAATTTGTTTCTCTTTAAAATTGGCCCAGCAGTTCCCCCATCCCAGTGCTGGAGCCCAACCCGATTTTAGGTACAACGACGAATTTGTGATTTGCGAGGATATTTCTTCAAGTGAAGTTTGAAGATTGAAAATTTTAAGATAGATAAATGATGGGATTATATAATCGTGAGACAAATTAACTCGTTATATTATGCACAAAAATGTTACTTTTCTATATCTATCTATATCTATATCTATATCTATCTATATCTATCTATATCTATCTATACTACTCTAAAAGGACGAGTGTTTTTGTAAAAATATGAACTATCTAAAATAACCTTACTTTGACATATTTTTAATGGCAAATTAGTAATACAGTAATACATATTTTAATTTATATTTCTAATTAAAAAAATGAATTACCTAAAAAACCCTTACTTTAACATGTTTTTAATGGCAAATTAGTAAGACACTAATACCTATCATATCTTATAATTTTAATTAATAACTAATACTTAAATACAAATACATGAACAATACATTTCACATCTCCTAAAAATCAAACACAATATTCACGCACCATTATTTCTCACGAAATTGCTTTCTTCCACATATCTCCAAAAAATCAACCTAACATCAATTGGATTAAACTTGTATCCAATCATGCTCTAAAGTTTTGAAAAGATATAGAATTGTTGTTTTAAAAAAAAATCCTTGTTTTTAATATAATTTTATACATTATCTGACAAACTAGAAAAGTTAAACAATTCATTTAACTACTTCATTATTTAAGAAAACTAAAATCTTATATTTAGAATTAGAATAGAAATTGCACTTTAGTTTTACTGGATGGAATTTTGATCCCACAAAAATCGTCATTTGTTTGTTTGTTTGTTTTTTTCCAATTTTAGTCACAAAGTGAATAAAATTAACGAATTTTCACTTGACCATTAAATGGTTAATATCAAGGTGTGTAATATTTTAATTATTAACACTTAAAATATATGAATTTTACATTCAATAATTAAGTAAAATATCATAAGATTTTAATTATTATCATTTTATATGAGCCACTGATTTTAAAGATGTGTGCTAAATAAAAGAATGATTTGAAAGTAAAAAAAATAATAAATCTGATGAATAACATTAAGAATATAATTAAGGTGTAAGGCTTGCTAATAAATATGAAAACAAATAATAAATAAAAATTTTATAATTAATAAAATTAAACATAAAACTTTTAAAACTTATATTTATCGATGTAAATGAATCGAATTGTTTATTTATTTTTATTTTTTTGTGCTTATTAGTTCTATGTGTAACTTTTAGGTGATAGATAATAGTTATTTGTAATTTTATCCATGTAGGTTGGAAATTTTAATATTTAAAAAAATGATTATTTTAATTTTAAATAAATTTTTATTTGCTATTAGTTTTTTTAATATAATATATAAATATCATATTACAATATAAAATAATAATTATTTTCGTTATTTAATATTAATACGTAAAAAGGTTGTAATTCAATTGAGAAATTAATAGGTAATCTTGAGTTAAAATAACGAGTGATTTCTAAAAAGTTATATAGACTAAATAGTTCATGTGTTTAATATATTTTTCATAAAAAAAAAATTATAAATGCAACCAATTAATAGAAAAACTACAACATAAAAATTTTAATATTTAAAAAGGAATGCAAAAAATAAAATGTTATGTTGCAATGAAAAATCCAACGATAAGATGTTCCACTAAAAATTCTAAAGGATATTTCATTTGCATAGCTTTCATTTGAAAATATCATTGGCTATTCCAACATAGATCAAATTATATTATAATGAAATTTTAATGAATTTAATGATTCAAGTTACCATTATTTATTTCTTGTGTGAATTTTCTTTTTGGGAACATATCAATGAAAGTTGCATTGGAAAACTAATTGCAGTGATAGATACAAACAATTTCATATTGGGAGCACTATTTAGCTAATAGAAAAATATACCATCAAAATAACATAATATCATTACAATATTTAAATTTTACTTTTCAAAATTTGTCATCTTTCTCATCTGTAATACATGATTACAAATCTCTACAGTTACAATAAGTTAAAATTATTCAAAAAAAATATAATTTTTCTCAACTAAAAGTAAGCAAATCATTGAAAAAAATATATCTTTTAAAATCTGATAACAAAAAATTTATGTTGTAGTATAGATGACTCGACAATTTTGTTGATGAACTTATAAATTATGACTAATTGATTATAATATTAATGAGAAAATTGTAATTGTATATAAAATAATATTAAGATATATAAATAGATTATATATTAACACATATGACCAAAATAATATATTCTTTAAAAATCTTATGAACAAAAAATCTATGTGGTAGTATAGTTGACTCGATAATATTGTTAATTAATTTATAAATTATGAATAATTGATTATAATATTAAAGAGAAAACTATAATTGTATATAATATAATATTAAGATATACAAATAATTGATATATTAACACATATGACTGAAAAAGTTGTATACATAATATTATGAATTTTTAAGCAAATAAAAAATTTAAAAACATATGAAAGAACAATATAAAATAAAAAAAATATTAAATCTGAAAAATGATATTAAAAATTACTAAGTTGTAATACGTACTAATAAATATTAAAAAAATAATAAATAAATATGTTATAATTAATAAAAGTAAACATAAACCTTTTAAAACTTATATTTATCAATTTAAATGAGCAGAGTTGTTAAATGCTTGTTAATTTTTGTACTTACTAATTCTATATGTAACATTTAGGTGATATACAATAGTTATTTTTACCTTTATCCATGTAGGTTAGGAAAAAAAACACTTGATTATTCTAATTTTAAATTACTATTTATTTGCTATTAGCTTTTTACATATAATATATATATATATATATCATATTAAATATATAAATAATAATTATTTTAATTATTTAACATTTAATATGTAATAAATGTAACTCAATTGGGAATTTATTAGGTAATCTTGAGATAAAATAATGAGTTACTTTAAAAAAATTATATGGATTAAAAAGTTCATGTGTTTAATGTATGTTATTAGAAAAATTGTAAACACAGTTACTCAATAACTACTACCTAAAATATAATGTTTAAGAAGGAATACAAAAATAAATTGGTATATTGCAATGGAAAATGCATCTTTAAGATTCCAAAGAAAATTCCAACGGATATTTCATTGGTAAAGCTTTTTATTGGAAAATTTCATTAACTATTCCAACAGAGAACAAATTAAATTACATTGAAAATTTTATGAATTAAATCATTCCAATTACTATAATTTATTATTGTTGGAATCTCTGTTGAATTTTTTTACGGATCGTATTTCAACCGTTGAAAAAACTGTCATTGAAATTGTAAAAAAATTAATAGAAGTTCCATTGGAAAATTAATTGCAGTGGCGGATCTAAAATAATTTTATATTAGGCACTATATAGTTAATAGAAAAAGTATACCATCAAAATAACATAATGCCATTACAATTTATAAATTATACTTTACATAATTTGTCATGTTTCTAACTTGTAATACATTCTAACACATCAGTACAGTCACAATAAGTTAAAAAGTATTTAATAAAAAAAATGACGATTTTTCTCAATTCAACATAAGAAAATCATTGAAAATAATATTTTTTTTAAAAAAAAATTATAAACAAAAAATCTATGTTGTAGTATAGCTGACTCGGCAATATAATTGATTAATTTATAAATTACAAATATATAACTAGAATTCCCTTTGCATTAGTTATAAAAGACATAAAAAAATATATTTCGAAGATATAGAAAAAAATATGTTGCAAAAGAGAGATTTGAAACTGTCATCAAGATTGAAATAATATAATTAGAGGATAAAATTGTAATTTTGAGGTATATTATATTTTCTTTAGTTGTGATGCCGCGTTTATGTTATAACATTTAAAACAGGGGACATGATAAAAATTATGAAAAAATGTTCCCACAAATTTTTATTAGATTCCTTACGCTATATGCTTTAGGATGGAGGGTTGTGTCGGATCTATAAAATAAACATAGATCTGCTCATGATTTCAATAAAATATTTTTGCTAGAATTAGATTCCTTGTGGCATATTTTTCTTACATAGATCCGAAAATTCATACTAAGAAAAAATAAAAAATGGATGTAAATATACAACTATCACCAATATTAACTATGTGAATTAAAAGGAGAAATAAACGAGTTGTATGTGAAATTTTATTCAACTAACACATAAATTCAATGAGTATAAAAATGAGTTAGTTGCTTAATATTTTTTTCAAATATTGGAAAAAAATTCTAAACCTTTTAATCTAATAATCAGTATAAAGTATATTTTTTTATTAAATATATTATTATTATAAATATATAAATAAGTAATATTAAATTTTATTTTATCTTATGTGATTATATTAGTTGTTGTCTAATAAATAAGATATTTTGATAACAACGTCATTATATGAAACACGTACAAAAAATGATGCAATACATATAAATGTGCTAGAATTCGTTAAATAAATAAAGTATTATTTATCAATAGAAATAAAAAATAATAAAATAATAGTAATGGAATTGAAAAAAGAAAACGTATGAATTTTCTTAGACAAGTATGAATACCAATATTTAGAAACAAAAAATCTCTTAAAAATAATACTTTATTTGTTGCTAGCGTTTAAATATATGGACTCTGTAAGAAATTGGACTTCATAAATAATGATCCTATATTATCAATTTTAATTTTAAATAATTAAAAATTTAAAACTTTATAATACATAATGTAGATTTTAATAATGATTTCGTAATAATAACGTTCAAAGATGACTAAGAGTCATAAAATAGAATTTTAATTCTTCTCATCTCAAATATTTTAACAAATGATATGCTTCTCAATGTTGTCTCATTGTTTTGTTTTGTTTGATTTTGTCATTGGTGAAGAATCAAGAAAGGAACTTTATCTCGAGTTTTCTTGAGTATTATGTATGATGCATAACGTTGGACGATA